TCCAGGTTCCTCATCATCAGACATGAAAAGAACAAACAAAAGTAACAAAATGTTAATAACAGACAAAATACAAATTAAATTAAACATTATTTTAACAAGAAACAAAAAACAACACTTGTAAAGTCACCCGAATCATTATCATGAAAGAAGGAATGAATGAAGACAGCTGTTAAAGTGGTGGTAACTATGAAAGGGTAAGCATGTGTCATAGGACAATTAAAAAGAATTCAAAGTATATCTCTTTAATCAATATAGACCGTCAGATAGTGACCGATTTAGGTGCCCCATTTTCGCATACAAGTCTCGAAGAGGGTTGAAAAGTACATCGATGTTGAGTAGAATAAAAGAAAATGTATGAGTGTCTGCTGGGGATAACACATGGAAAATTCGATTTTCCTCTTTAGAAAAATTTTCCGACCCCAAAATGCACTTATACATTCGGGTCGTTCAAGAAAATATGTTTTTTGGACTAGTGACGACGTAGGTTTTCATACATTCGATGGGCTTGTGTGGAAAAATCAGGCAAAATCTCAATTTTTCCTTAGAAGATTACGCCCTTATTTCAACCCTTTAGCCACTTGCAACATTAAAGCCTTTGGTTTTCCGAAGCCTAATTCTATTAATTAATCATATAGTGAAACGGCTTGCGTGGAAAAATAGGCAACAAATAACCTTTCGTTTTTTGTTAGGGAAAATCGAATTTTCCATGTGTTATCCCCAGCAGCCACTCGTAAATTTCCTTTCATTCTACTTAAAATCGATGTACTTTTCAACCCTCTTCGAGGCTTGTATGCGAAAATGGGGCACCTAAACATGTCACTATCTGACGGACTAATACTGATAGTAACTGGATAATGAGATAATTTTAGAGTTATTGTTATATCCTTGTAAAAAGCGTGTGGCTAGGGATGCGCTGTTAGGATCTCGTTATTTGACACCTTACAAATTGACATAAAAACAAAAAAAGGATATGTTAACTTCAATGACAAAAAGTCAACTGTCATTCGAACACAAATTACGCTATAATAATATAGCCTATTGGGTAAATATTTTGTTACAAAGAAAATCTAGTAGCTAAAAAAAGCCAAATGGTTTCTTGTTCTTTTTCAACTGCCTTTTTACCTTTAAGTCGCTGGTTATTTGAAATCAAATTACTTTCGTTCCTTGATTTTTTCCTTTCCAGTACCAAACTCTTGATATATCTCAATTGCATGCCTTTTTTCTCTACTCCTTTAATTGTGCTTGTTCAGGTCTTTCTCGATATATGCGTAACTATAGGAACCCAGGGTAGGTCCAGGTCCTCCCAATATACCTCCCCCCTTCTCTCCGTTCTTCTCCTTTTATAATTTTCATGCCTCTCGATACATTTATTCTAGTTTATTTTATAGTGTAGAATATCCTTGACTTATTTTTCTTTGTAAATTTCATTTAACAACCGTTCTTCAGTTTGTTTCTTGTTTCTTCGTGTATGTACATATTCTTGACTGTTTTTTTAACTTTAAACGTGTTTCACTGTATTGCCAATTGCATTATTTGCAATGCTCGTTTTTCATATAAGTATGTTATTAAACCAAACATTGCGAGAGCATAAGTTCTATCTTGCCAACAGCTTTTTCCCACTACATTTTCACGTGATGTCCACTATTAGGAGTACACTAAGAAATTGCATTTTCTGTTACAAATATTTTAAACGTTCAGCTTGTTATTTTGCAATGCATAGGTACCTGCATTACCTAATCTCTGCATACCTTGACAATATGATATCTGAATATTGAAATATTATTTAAATGAGGTATTTCTTGGATTGAACTGGTGACGTGAACGTTTTCTTCTAGTACGTATGTATTTATTTACATAATAATCTTGACCTAGAAATTTCCAAGGTAAATAGGTCATGGTGTTAATAACATTGGTACATTTTTTTATTATGTTATGGGTAGTTTTAATTTTAATTTGTTTGTTAGTTTCGAGGGACACTAAATTGAGGTAAAACAATGTCATCAGTACTAATTCAATAATGTGGCGCCTTAGAAATGTACGCACTCTTCTGTGTTGTTAAAATGTATCAAATTTTCATTAAGTATGTTCCCCTTATGTTACACTATGAAATACCCCTGTCATTATTCAAATTTAGCTTTACATCTCTATTACCCTAGTTCTCTGAAAAGATTGAGGTGGTGGAGGACACATGGACAATCATAATTAAATCTAATCTAAGAGTGAAGAAATTATGTTACTGCCTCCAAAAAATTTCAGCAGTATTCCAAATCGAACTGTTTGATTTTGAAGCTATTTAACCAACAGAGTAAATGACGATGGTGAAGTATTGAAGGATATTTGGAATAAGATACTTCCTTTTGATCTTATACTATAAATGGAGACTCCTATATACCAATAAACCAACCTAATTTTGAGTGAATGAGTTCCTTGTCTCTATCTGTTATGCTTTCCTATTATTAATATATCTTTCTGAACTGATGAATTCAATTCTGTCAATACTTAAATTTTTATTAATATTTTCGATGCCAGATGAATATTGGCAGCCTTAGTCGAAAATAGTGTTTTAATCATCAATAAAGTTAGTGGCTGCAGCTAATTAAAAAAAAAAACTGTCACTCCCTCTAAATTGTTTCACCTATCCAAAGACTAACCTGTAGTCAATATTACTACTACCTGCATTTAAATTATAACTTCTAAATCTATTGTATCCACTCTCATATTTGGATTTTTTTATCTAATTGACAAAACACAATTAATATTAGTAATACAAACTAACTTAACCTACATTTAATATTCTGATTAATGATTGTGATCATAATAATACTGAAAGCGAACAAGATCAAAGATCTAGATCATTTATGATGTATATACCTATTAAAAAATCTTTTCAACCAGACTTTAAGACCGAATACAATCAACACGAGTTGCAACATTGGATATAAAATAATTTTTAACGAAATGCAAGTATTTCATTTGAAATAAACTCTTAGTAGGTCAATCTGAAGTAGAATTTGTTTAATACCATTATTATCGGGTATTAGATACAATTTCTATTTCAATTTCGAACTCTTGAAAATAGAAACGCAGTCAATTTTGAAACTTTCTGAATTAAAACGAATAGATAAAGACACGTAACTTTCATGGAAATGGAAAAAGCGGTCTCCTAATTTTTATAGCATGTTCAAAAACGTATTTTAATATACGAGGATGGTCTCAATAAGAAAACAAATTTTTGTGTTAATTTGTATTTCTTTTCTAACATAGTCTCCAAATATCTCGATACACTTGGTTCAGCGTATATCGAACATAATGGTTTTAGTTTCTCAGGGATCTAACTTTGGCCCTCTCTTAGTTTTATTCTATATCAATAATATTGTAGAATTAATCTTATTTAATTACCTCTTAATTACAGTTAGACATTGATACCATTGATGGTACCTTAAAAATAATTTATTTTTGAATATATTCAAATACAGTAGGAAAAAGATATGCTTAAATTTCATTATTTAGTTCTACTTGGGACAGATTTGGAATTGTTGAACTTAAGCTGACAGTTAGTCTGTTTATTTTTTTTAATTTGATCATGGTCTTGACTGCTATTTTTGTCAAAACTTTTGTTTCATACGTTATATGTGGATTCAGGTTCTTAACATACGTCATTGAAGTAAAAGCAACAAACGAAACCACATTATTTTGACAATATTTAAGAACTAGGTCAAGAGTTTCGCTACTGTCTAAAAAAAAACATTGATTAAAGCACACACTGGTCTAACCGGCCCAATAATCCTTATAGATTGAAAAAAATAATACTGGTATGTATGTCAACACGTCGTTATGCAACAAAAATCCACTACTAATTGTGATTTGAATGTATCGAATTACAAACAATGCCTACTTAATTGACTGTAGGCCACGGGAACCAGATGATTTGTGTATTTTTATTTGTTTTCTTCATTCAAACATGTACCTCTTTTCTGAACAACTATGAACATCTATATAGTTAGGTAACTAACAATTTACAATTTTTTAAATATTTGTTGTCTAAGATTATGCCCATTGTAATGAATACAATACAGTGTTGCGAGTCTAGTACAACTATTCTAGATCTACTACATTCTCTATAAGTATCTAGTACCCTAGTGTCATGGTTGTAACAATACGCAATAGCGAATTTTGCAAGCGTATGCTCGCTCAGGGGACCTATTTTCAAACTGTGTGAGTACTCATTTCTCTCAAGATTCTCATCAGAAATGTCATACGTCAATGTGGAAACGCTGTTTTTAAAGGCCTCGAGGATTAAAATTCTTAGGAGGATATTAATTATCTCTAAATAAACCGTGAGAAACAATCAGTGAGTTTACACTGGCCCTTAGGACCCTAAAAATACTGTTTTACGTTGACGTATGACATTTCTCTCGAGAGAAATGAATTCTCTCGACTTTGAAAATAGCACCCCAGGGCGCGTACTGGGCAACTAGTCTAGAAATTATAGATAATTGCAGAAAAATTAAAACGGTTTTGGCCCTTAGAACTTAATGGAGTAATCAGTATGGGCTCTGGGACTGGAAAGTTTGGAGACCCCTGTTCTAGAGTAATAGACTGAGAAGAACAAGATACTTGGCAAGGTTCCAGATTGATTGCTCGCCTATGTTTTAGTTATACAACAATATAGACACTACAATACCACTATTTTGTTAGAATCAGTTATACCAAAACGTCAAAAATCCTTTAATTTAGGATGGCACGCACTTTTGAAGTAAAGAAATTTTATCAACTACTCACAAATCGTTTTTTTATTATTATTCTTATTATTATTATTAATTATTAATATTATTGTTGCTAATTTGTCACTTACATGGATAATACGTAGGTAGAGAGAAAGTATAAGCATACTGAAAGAAATTAGATTGTTTTTTTTTGCAAAATAATGTGTATGTTTTTGTAGATATGAAATTAAATTATTATAATTTAAGTAATTACAAACTTTATTTATTTTTCAGATGAAAATAGCCTGTTTAGTGATAGTAGCGTGCGCATGTGCGTGTGCTGTAGCCGATCCTGCCATAAACGAAATTAGACCAGTATCAAATCGACCAGGAAGGTTCCTGACACTACCTAATGCACAAAAATGCGCGAATAGTAAGTATATTCACTTATTACCGTAGTTAAGAGAACTTTTACAATATTCAAATTCTAAAATATCGCCATTTCATAACCTTACAAATAAAAGAAATAATGAGCATCATGATGAATCTGGAGAAATATGATACACGCCACAGTTAGATCGGATACAGAAAAAAGTATCCGAATACCGAATTCGGATATGCTGTCAACAAGTTTTTCCCTGATTCATATAGGTCGAAAGCTTGTTTGTTAACAGCTGCGAAAGAATAGGCTAATTGATACATAAAAGCTTTGTCCTGATATATACCAGATTTTCAATCATCCTTGATCCATAGATTGGAGGGAAATAGAGAAAAGTGTAGAAAAAGCTGCAAACCCTATTTGTTGCCTCTTACGATCGACCTGGGTGGCCAGGAAATGAGAACAATCATCTCTTAGCCACGCTTTATGTTTACTTATTTCTTATGATAGTAATGAGTGATGACGTACACGTCAATTATTTATTTTATATAGTTATTTTCGACCAAGATCATTTTTTATTTATTATTTTCGTTACAAATAACGGTAAATCAAGCATAACAACAATTACTCTTTGTAATATTGTTTATTTCCTACCGAAGAATAATTTATTACAAACCAGTGTATTTTCGTAGCTATAATAACATTATTAACTCCCGAAGGAATTATGACAAGAAGTTATAATTACATTACTAAGGTAAAAGTTAGTTAATAATCTCCTCGTAATTCCCTTGATATATAAATTAAAAATTAATAGATAGAAGACGTCTTTTAACGGCCTATCGAAAATTTAATATTCAATACCATAACTTTAAGTTTCAATGTCATCGTCTGTTAAAAATTCCTATGTCGTACGTGAATGGTATGCTACAAAACTGGAATTTTTGTTTTGACTTTCACATATCAGATTTCGATTTCGTAATATTATTTTAATCGGATCTTCTCTTTCTATAAAATCCGATATATGAGATTTTAAAAGAACGATCGAATATAGGATGATAAAAACTACTCACGTATTTCGGTGCTGCGGTGAAATTTTAGAGAAATTATGAATCGCAATTATTTTTGCACTAACAACTTTTCAATATTTTTTATATTGTTTTGAATTGTGTCGAGTGCTGTTTGAAATGTTGTTTTGGTTAATTGTTTGAACCACTGGATAAAGTGTTTATTTTGGAGTAAATTGTTTCTAAAATGTTCTTGCATAAATTTGATGTTAACTTCGGATGTCGAAAGCTATGTGCTTCGATATCTCAATTGGTAAGAGCATGGACGACTACAGTTCGGAGGTTCCAGGTTCGATCCCTAATTGATGCATTCATTTCCTTTGTTTATACTTTGGAGATATGGGGATTATTAATTTTCATAATTAAAAAAAAAAATCAAAATTATTTAAATGCTTGCAACAGTTTCATATTTGATTCTGCTATCGGTCAAATCATCTAGTTCAATTTATAACCATGCAAGTCACTGTCATGTTGGAAATACTACACTAAAACGTAAATAATAACTTTTAACATAATATACTATAAAAGCAAAACAAAGTTTTCTCTTTAACAATAAATGATTTTTAACCTAAATTTTAACAAAGCCATTTGGATAGTTTCTATTTGTTTTAATCACGACATAAGAACAACATTATCTTTTTTGTCACCGCGGATTTTATGAGCACTTTCTCACAATATTATCAACGCAGTGTCTCAATTACATTTCTTTGTGTAATTTTATTATCTTACTCATGAACTAAAACAAACATTTAAAAAGTCATTACGAGTATTTTCATTCGTTGACTGTGTTCTTTCTTTCAGAGGAGTGGTAACCATTTAAGACATGAAACAAGTTTTTCTCATTTCATTTATCAATTATTTGCATTTTTTTATTGTATTCGGGTGACTTTGGAAATTTGACGTATTTCATTAGTGTATTTGATTACCGACAACCACATACTTTGATTACTATACGAGGCAAGAGCGAGGTCCGACACGCGCAACATAGGGCGCGGCCATTTTGAACCCTGTGACACAGTTTACTGCTAAAGAATCAGATCGCTCACTCTGCGTCGGCACTTTTGATCTCAATGTTTCAGTTTATACATTGTGCAACTCGGATAATACAATATATGACAACCGCCTATAATAAAACAGCAGTCTTCTGCGTATCCTGAATTTGTATTTCTGGAGTGGATGTTATTTTGGAACTTTCAACTGGTCCGAGTGAGCTAACTGATTCTTTAGCAATAAACTGTGACTTCAAAAATAATATTCACTGACACTGACAGCAGCAAGCAAAATATCAGGTGCGTTTTATCATCCGCTTCTGCTTCCGGAATTGTCGGTTTGGTCGTTTTAACCTGTTAGATTAAAACAAGAAAACCGACAATTCCGAAGCAGAAGCGGATGATTAAAACGCACCTATTAAAAATATTGCGCCAAGATGTAGGCAACACGTAATAAGGGTTCAGAATGGAGGAGTTTTCTATCTCTTTTTAAAAGGCACTCAGAAAGCTGCGCAGTGCGACCATTCTCCGTATAGTAAAAGAAAATCAAAGTATGTGCCGACAACAGTCTATTCACTGATAATTTAAATCACATATATTGTATCATATATTGTATTATCCGTGTTGCGTAGTATATAAACTGGAACATTGAGATCAAAAGTGCCGACGCAGAGTGAGCCATCTGATTCTTTAGCTATAAACTGTGTCATAGGAATCAAAATGGCCGCGCCCTATGTTGGGCGTGTCGGACCTATCTCTTGCCCCGTATAGTAATCAAAGTATGTGATTTAAATGCATTGCCTTGTAACGTTAACCCTATTAAATGACTAGCTTTAACCCAATTTCGAATATAGATGGATAAATATATGAACCTATTTGGAATTTTCTAAAAAATGCTATAGGTTTTATTACTACCATTAAGTCATATTAGAATATTTTCTGTTTTTGATCTGACAGATATATTATCCATATTCACAGATTAGCAAAACTTTTTTACTTAAGTATACTACTACATACATTAAGTATACTACAACTATTTTTATCAGTGGAAAAAAAGGACGTGTTTTCGTATGTTAAGAATAAAGCTTACAAATCAAATATAAAAAGCTAACACATCAAGTACAAAAAACATAGTAATAAAATAAACATTTACTGAATTTTAAACTGTCTTTACTTTCAAATGTTGAGCGAATAAAGCCGTTTCTTGATTCTGAACCTATTGCTAAAGAAGGTGACTCTATAACTAATTTTACACATCTCTACGGATTGAGTATGGCAAGGGAACTTCGGAAAATTTGGAATTTCGGTTTCGTTTATGAGGTCCCTAAGATTATCATCAGTAAAATCCCTTAAAATAGGAGGCGATGTCACATCGCACTCCTTCCAGTAAATTAACACAAAATAGTCTGTAGCACTGAAATTAATTTTTAGTACCAGAGCTAGTCATCGCCCTCAATGAAAGGGATTGAAGCACTAAGCCCTCAGCCCTTTTTTAAAATGCTTTCATTTTCAAGCACAAATTCATTTTTATTTTCGAAAGTGCTTCCCAAGCACAAAGTCCTCAACGTGATTTGAATAGTGCTTTAAGCAAATCAAAAGTGCTTGAGTTGCCTTCAGAAGTGCTTGATGCACTTCGAAAGTGCATGAAGCACCTCGAAAGTGCTTAAGGTTATTAATAGCCAACTTTTCAAAACAAAAATAATTTCCATTTACCCGGTATGAATTATTATTTTAAATACAACACACTTGTATTTGTCCTTGTCTTCATATATGTATACATAAAAAAATGACAATATTGATACATCCAACAAATAATAAAAAATTACTATAATATGATAATAGATTTGTCAATGAAGTAGATCCGTGTTAGTATATACACAACATAATATGATCAACACCACGTTTTTTTAAATATCAAGATCAATTCAATTATATAGAAAATTAAAAAATTATGTAATATAATAATTAGATCCTTGTCATCCAGCTACGGGCTTTATAAAATTATATACAGTACGGTTTCAATGAAAGGAATAAATTAATGAATCTCCTAGATTCACCAATTACCTACTTAAATGTATAGAAAGCATTCATCGAAAAATATAATGACAATAATGAATATAAATAGTAGAGCATGATGCACTTGCAGCTAAATCTAAATATAAAGGCACCTGAAACCTAGAAATTTCAACTAACGAGTGTTACATAATAGAGAAATACATAATAGAATGCATGTTCCTTTTATTTAAAAATTAGGAACGCCTAACAAAAGAATTCTCAAATGATTAAAACAGCATAGTAGCGTGATATAACAAGCAATATCTACATTTGATATTGTTTTTCACTAATTAAACATATATTTAGACTCAGTAATTGTCAAGAACAATGCAATAGATCTCATTTTTAATAGATTGTGTTAATGTTTACTTGTAAGTTGTATTATAACAGGAAAAGAAATCAGTATATGATCGTATGTAGCTTAACTATTGCCCTACTAGCATCTAATTTGCAACTCCCAGAATGGTTGGAGTTTTTGTCAGTTAAGAATAAATCTAACTATAAATTAAAATGCAATCACAGAAGAAAGTGTTAAATGGACATTGTTAAAAATTACCTACATTAGAGTTTGTCTAGGACTGACAATTACTTGTATTTATAAATTTTAACATGATTACATTGGCTGCGTTCATCCGCGCCATTTCAAGGAGCGCTACAAAAGTAGCGATCACTTACGCTACCTGATCGATCTTTATGCACGGATGAACCATGTTTAAAAGTGACATTTGATTTTGGTTTATTCATTTTACTTTTGAGTTGAATGTCTCTGGTTGAAGATTTGTTTGTTTATTTTTCAATTGCTAATATGCTAATATAACCCTACTAGTCACCAAGCAAGCCGTGGACGTAAGTGCGTAAGACAGATCAGTGATCACCGATCAGACGTAAATAAAATGCGCTACTTTTAATGGCGGCCGCTCCTTGAGCGAAATGTCAAAATACACCGTTCATACGTGCCACTCGAGAGCGCTACCAGATCGATCAGGTAGCATGTGGCGCGGATGAACGCAGCCATTGGCTTCTCTAAATGTTAAAATGCTTTTGTATTCCTTTATTGACACAACAGAACACCCCTCTTGGCACACAAAATGATCGCTAGGGGTGCAAGCAATCCGTGACTGATGAGATGCAATTGTACAGGAGAATGAGTTGGACAAATTTGGATTGGTCTTCCTTACAGGTAAGTCAATCAATCTTATAATTTCTCGAACTCATCCTCCTGTACAATTGATCACCCTGTAGGCTGTTTAGAGATAATTTTGAAGAAAATAAACATTTGGGTTGATTTTCCTTGATAACGTGTTTCTATAGAAAGAGTAATTTAAACATTTTTTTTATTCCAGGGCCGAAACAGTTTTTCTTTAGGGGACACAATTACTTCTTCAGCGGGAGCGTACCCGAATTGGCAAATAGGAAAGTCGATTGGTTAGATGGTAGAAACATCTGCAGAGAATATTGTATGGATCTCGTCTCCATGGAAACGCAAGAAGAAAACAATATGATATTTAGATTGATTCAACAAAGTGAGTTGTAAAAGTTTCTTTTTAAAAAATTCAAGTTATTATCGTTAAAAATTAATCGATATCGTAATAAATGAAGAATAAATTTATCGACCACAAAAATATGAAAGTTGGATATTTTCATATTGTCTAAAATTATTTAAATAAGCTAATAACCTCTAATAAGGTATCATAAAAAATATTAGACACAGCTAAATTATTCAATTTGAAATTCGTTTTGTATTCAGCAATTATCAGAAATTGAAGTAGAAAGTAAAAACTATAAATATGTATACAGTGTGGTGAATATGAAAGGAATATAGTACATTATTAGACACTAATGAACTGAAGTGATTCATTACGAAGCGAAAAGTTTGTAGGGCTACAATTCGTCGAGGGATAAAAAGTCACTTCATTTCCGTGGTTTATACACTATTTTATGTACTTTAGAAAAAGAGAAAATAAAAAAAATTATAAAAATGAAAAGATACTCCAATAACAAAGCAATGATGATGTCAGTGAAAGGTTTTTATCGTGCTGACGTATATTGTACTTTATACTGTATTTTCGGTTGTATGGTATAAGTATATTGCACTGTAATCCCTATGGATTTTTATTCCTTAGAGAATTAAGCTACAAAAAACTGCAAAATAATCAAAGTTTATCATTAGTTAAATTAATTATTTTTAAGTTAATATAGGGTGAGATTACAGAAAATACACCACGTTTGCAACTTTGTAGATCTGCAAATATAGTGGATTTACATATAAGAATATTTGATGTATCTTGCATCTGTAAGTCCGCCATATTTGCAGATCTGCAAAGTTGCAGACGTGGTGCATTTTCTATAATCTCACCCATAGTTTCTATTCAATTAAATCCACCTGGATCACAGTGGAAGGCGATGAGATCATCCCACTTATTTTCAACCTTCCATTCAATTACATTGCCAAAATTTTTAAAACCATTTCATAAAAGTCGTAGAAATAGTATATTACGTAATTTTGATGGAATTTTCATTTCGCACGAATATGAATAAAACTAATTAAAAAATAATAGCAGCGTGTTATAAACGTAGAACAAGTATAGTGTTCAACTACAAACAAATACTCATTGAATTACCATTTCATGTTAAACAATTTCAAAAAAATTTCATATTATTATATAATACATTTCTTTCTAGATGACGTTCCATACATTTGGACTTCTGGACGATTGTGCGACTTCAAAGGTTGCGAGAACCGTTCTGATCTCGAACCCAAAAACGTTTTTGGTTGGTTCTGGTCTGCCAATCGTGAAAAGGTACGTCATAATATTAAAAATCTAGTACGACCAATATTATTGCTTCTATTACAAGTATTTGATAAAATATTTTATTTTCATTCAGATTCAACCTACCAACCGCACTCCCAACGGATGGAGTTACAACCCATGGTCCCAAACCGGTCACAAGAAACAAAGACAACCCGATAACGCTGAATTCGACATCAACAAAACCTCTGAATCCTGTCTATCAATCCTCAACAACGTTTATAACGACGGTATCGCCTGGCACGATGTCGCTTGTTACCACGAAAAGCCTATCGTTTGCGAAGATTCAGAAGAATTATTAAACTATGTAGCGTCCACCAATCGTGGACTTCGTTTGTAAATCTAAATTTTTTCCAGGATATCATGCCTAAAACTGTTTTGGGGAATTAAGAAATTCCGTTTTCTTAGTGTAGGAAAGCGAACTGGTATTACACTAAGATCAGCGATTCCTGAAATAAGTTGTTTTATTGCAACTTTATATTCTCAAGAATGAGGCTTTTTTTCAGTGTAGAAATTTAAACGGAACGATCCTACATTAAGAAAAATGTTGTCAAAAAGTAAATTCAAAAGTCAATAATACGTAAAACGACATATTTGATCCTGGCATGACTATCCTCAGTGATTGGCTGATTTGTTATAATTTTCATATAAAGATTAACATTAAATAAATTAAACCATCCACTATTTGGGTTCTAATTAACAGTGCTGTTCCAGTAGTGGCGCCGGGAAACAGTAACAAAGCCTACACAGACCACGTGACCAGTGGCCATTTTATGACACTAAATAATAGAAAACCCCACAACAATTAACTGCCAGTATACTATTAAATATTATAAAACATGAAAAATATAACAAATCAATATTTTCCAATTTATTCCTAAATTGTTTTTAGTCATTTTCGATTTGCTGCCCTCATTCCTTTTCTCCCATATCCCCCAATATCCCACTGTATAGATTTTAAACTGTAAAATATTTGTATATTTATTTTTTTAATAGTTTATGTATGTAACGATATTTGTCAGGTACGTACCTAATAAAAATTTTACCTAATATTCAAAATAACTTTTATTGATTTAACATATGAATATATCGCTACCTTGGAAGAAAACTGGCTTAACTCAAAAATTGCAAATTTCGACGTAAGACATTTCAAAATTTTCATTAAAATTAAAATAACTGCTTAAAAAAATAATTTAAATAGATACTTTCAATTAACTTTAGCATATTATTTATTTTATAAATATACAACTAGCCCTAAGACTTGGACTTGTAGCACTTTTGACGAAGAAAAAACATACCTTTTAGGTTTTATGCCAAGACAAACAAATATAGAATAAAGAATATATTATATAGTATAGTTGAGACCATCCGTGTGGACACACTGTATAATGCTGAAGACTAGAATTTAGAAATATTGAGTAGTTACAAATTATCTAAGTACCTACATGCAGACTTTTGTTTAGAAGCAAATTTATTTTAACTCCATAAAAGGTTCTTATTTTTTAAACTAAAAATGAACAGAAAATTTAAAAAAGAATAATTAAAATATTTTCAAAAGTTAGTTTGTGTCAAAATATTACTTTCTTGAAGACCATATTGGTGACCAAATTTGAAAAAAATATTTGAAAGCTTTTTTGATTTATGGAAAATTTTAAATTTTGATTTCAAACTTTTAACACCCTGTATCTCGGTAACTAAGCTACATGTTCCTACATTAAAATTCATCAATTAACGAGAGCTCTCTGTAGGTAGAGCATTGTCGGTCGAATATACTAACACCGTGTATATTTTCATTCTAATTTATATATACAATACAAGAAAAAAATTATAAATTTGAAGTATCTACTTATCACAGATTTTCTAAATACCCTGGATAATAAAAAATAAATGTAGCACTTCTGACCTACACAATGCCGATATGCAAAAAAATAATAAAATGTGACCCTACCTGTATAATAATAATAATAATTATTATTATTATTAGCTAAATATAAATCAAAAGACTCACCATTAGAAACTGCATACTCCACCTAAAAAACGTACAAAAAAAATGTTAATAAAAACAAAAATGAACCATAAATTCAGTAAAATATTAAGATATATATGTTGTAATAATTTGGGTATAAAAAAAGCTAAATTTAAATCAAAAGACTCACCATTTGAAACTGTTTATTCCTCATTCATTCTCTATCCTATTTGTTGTTCCAGTATTTCCATAATATCCATTATTTCCCGTTGATTTTCGCGATTAAAACGCGTCCGGACAAATCTTCTATACCCGACAACATTAATGATCATCGTATCATATTCAATTCTATAGCAACCCTTTGATATGTAGATATATCTCGGGGTAGTATATCTGCAGCCTTGTCCATTTGATCCTAGAAAGTACACCCTAGGATATACATTCTAAGAACAAACGTCTTTATTGTTAGAGGTGAAATGAACATGAGCTTAGACCATTGATATTGTTCTACCGACTAACTCGAGAAATTTGCGGCGATTTAATTTTTCTTTGCGACGATTTAAATTTTTATTTGCGGACATTCCCTGAAAAGAAAAACAACAATTAATAAGAAATTTTGAAAATGTCAAAAGGGAAGGATGTTTATTGAAAGGACCTAAAAAGACATCTCTGTATTTAAAAATGTATGGGAAATTGCCCCTGTACCGAACTCCTTGTTTTTAAAAATGTGATTCGTAATAAAAAAAGTAAAAATGTGGGCTAAGAGACAACGATGTTACTCAAAAGTTGGTAAACTTATTAGTTTAATAAAAATTTGATGTAATAGTTTAATTTTTAATTTTCAAAAACCTTACAAATGATAACATTTTAAAAAACTATTCTCTATTCCAGACACCATATTTCCAATTCGAATGGTATATTCTTATAAAACTCCACAAAACCTGTCATTGAATATTTTTTTATAATTTCATATGTTCTAGACAAAGATCATCATTTTTTAAGTTCTGTGGTAAAAATTATCATCATCTTCATCTTAGAGAAAAATATTTTGTCACTTATGTATTCAATTACAAACTACTTCCAAAACTGGTTACGTTTTCAGTTCGTTTGCATACAAAATAATATTTTCAGTGCCAATATACAGAGTGCTCCCCATTTTGAATATAATAACATTTTTTTCATTTTTCTATTGCAACCTAGATCAATGTAGATCTTTATTGTTAAGTATATGTTTTTCTCCGTGTACATACCTCCTGGATGTAAACGTAATATATATGAATTATTATTTAATTTTTTCAAGAAAACATTAAGGATATTAACAAAATATATATTTTTGGAGACTTTAACCTATCTGAAATTACTGGAATTAATTATAAATTTCCAATTAATAAGCACGTCTTAAATTCTTTATCAAATTTTCTTGATTTTAATAGTCTAGGATTGTATAATGATATGAAAAATGGTCAAGGGAAAACATTGGATCTAGTTATTAGTTCTTTAAATAATGTAATAAATTGTTCTGTTAAGAGGAATTATTTTCCAAATGTCAATGAAGATTTCTATCATCCTGAACTTGGAACTTCCATAACATAATATTTACAGGGTGTTTCAAAAAGGTATGTCATAAATTCTTCCACAGATAGATTTAGCTATATTTACCTATATTAAAAACTGGCTCCTAACAAAGTTACAGGGCGTTAATCTAACATTCAAAAAAATGTTTTTTGTAAAAAGTTAGCTGTTACGATTTTTTCTTTGAATTTTTTACCAGTGCTGTAGATTTGAAAGTCCCATATTCTAAGGAGAAAAAAGCGACCCCCTTGAAAGAAGTTGGGGGGTTGTAATAACAAATTATTGATGGAATAAAATAAATGTTGAAATGTCATATTTAATATTATAACATTTGATATTTTACCTTTTCAGTAATGTACCGTACATGGTACATCCCTTATTTAAAATTAAGGGGTTGGAGAAGTGGAAGGGGGGGGGTTGACACATGACAGATGTCTGCATTGGGAAAATGTGTTCAATTTGGAATTAAAATCGACCTGTTTTAGCATTTTCTTAAAATACAATGAATAATGCCGAAAAAGAGAATGAAACTGTTTTGAGTGACCCACTCTGTATATCAAAACTGGCTAGATTTATCGAATTAGTTTATAGAGGAAAATCTGCTTAAAAATACATTTTTTTACAAGATGCGCTATATAAGAAAGATTCTTTCATCGAAAAAATAATATTGAGCGCAGCGCCATCTACATATTGACCTATTTAAAATTAATTTATATCTAAAATTGAAGCTCTCTTAGTGCTCTATGATTTGGCTTTCACAGAATTAAAATATCTCTATTACTTATCAAAATATCTGGCCTGGGAGATTTTATAGGTACACCCTGTATAGACGAGATATTCTTAAGATTTTTCAAACCATATCATGGGCAGAATGAAGGCGATTCTGCCGACAGTGCGATATCTTATGCCTTAAGAAAATGTGAAGAAATTTGCATGCCGTCTCAACTCATACCAACAATTCGCCTCGCAAAAGAAAACATCCATATAATGTGACCCAGTCTACCTAACTATTTTGAGTTTAAAAATTTTAGAAAATTATCACAGGGGATAAGATTACTAAACATAAGGATTGATGAACAGAAAGAAAAAGTTAATTGGAAAAAAATAAAAGAAGTAAAAATTTGAAAACAAAATTTACACAAAGTTTACTTCAAAAGTTGCCATAATGCCGACACATACAGATCTCTAACTTTAAAAAGAAATATCTATTTGCAAAATGTCGCCTTACCACCTCTCAATTCTAGTCCAAATAAATTATGTGCAGAAAAATATACAGTGGCGGCTCGTGGGGTGGTTCACAGTGACAGAATATAGGTATCAGTACAGATGTATGAAAAAACTTCCAGTGTTTTAGAAAGTTTATAATATACCTTTCTAAAACACTGACAGTTGTTTACCTATATCTGTACCGGGATCTATATTCTGCTACTGTGAACCCCCAAAAGTTTGGTCACAAGCCGCCCTTGGTAGGGATTTAAATTTATTTTGTACATCAGATATGCCGGTTACAAGAAATATAGAACACAAAATATTTTACCAAAATTTGCCTAATGAAAACTAATTGTTGATTTTGTTAAACATAATATATTGAATTATATTTTGTTGTGTTATACCGTTAACTACTAATAAATGTTGAAATAAAAAAAACGTAGTTAAACTACTAATGCTTTTTTTTGGCTGTGAGTTGTAATTAATATGGCATATTTTTTTATAGCTTTGGTCGTAACTCCAACAAACTTGTAAAAAAACATCTTCAACATCGAACAACATAAACTGCAATGTATATAGCTCCCAGAGTGATCAAAGTACAACAGAAAAACAGAGGAAACAAATCAATTTACTTTAAAATTTATCAGTAATAAAGTGTTTCATTCCACGAAAAATCTTATTAAGGGTCTCCTGGATATTATTGTAAATTTGAGATACGACCAATAGACAAAACAACGACGATATTAAGTGTTAAGTTTGACAATGTGTAAGATTTGCCATGTAAATCCCTGTAGCAACACTTTAAAACACACTGTATATCATATTAGATCTAATATTGATAGGTATAGAAAAAAAAACGATTAAAAAATGGAAATATTGTTTGAAATATTTTGGTAAAATATTATACATCCTATATATTATTGTAATTAATAGGTAATTATAAAAATACTGTGCTGAAAATATTATTTTGTATGTGAGCGAACTAAAAACGTAACTAGTTGTGAAAAAATAGTTGGTAATTGAATAAATATGTGACAAAATATTTTTCTCCAAGAAACTACAAGGACAGAATATGAAAAAGGAGGGCTTTGTGTAGAACAAATCAAAAAATGAAACTTTAAGTGACTGCAAATTAAATAGATTCGAGTCCACAACAGCAAAAGCCTAGGATTACTTAATTCAAGTATGATTGATCTGTCTGCACAATCTTTCTTTGAAATATATGCACCAAAAGTTCACAGCTCTTGAAGATCTGAACCATTAACCCTTTTGAAATTTCCATGGTGCAACTTTGAAGCTTTCTGTTTCACGAGCA